TTACCTGAAGGCTAATTTTGTGTAGCTACAGAACACCTTTCGTATTTCCGTCGATACCAGGTTGGTAACAAGCCCCTAGAGATATTGTACACGATGCTAGTTTGGGCACTTGAAACACTGACGCATGAGCCAATTCCTTACGGAATGAGTTTGCCGACGTTTGCTGTCAAGACAGACTTCGCACTTGTTGATTTACTCTTAACGATGCACTGTTGACTCGCCTTGCGTGTCGGGTTGGCTTAGTGCCATAGCACTTCACAAAGGGGCGCGCCTTCAGGATGAGTCTAGCCATCCTAGCGCTTTTAACGCACTCGGTCACGCTGCATTACTTTTGGTACCTAGCAATATTCCTACGCCACAACGGAGTAGTGCCACCGCTGCCTATGGTCCCGCAGACTCTGCCTCGTCACGGCAAGGCAACCAGGCCTTGCCATGACAAAAAAAAATCCACCCGTCACTCCACCAAAATTCCCCCTTAATTTGAGCTTTTCCGTGTCTTGCCATGTCTGAAGCGTGTAAGAGCCATGAGGAATGCGGCCGCACATGCTTTAAAAAGGGAACAGACTTATCCTGGAAAAGACGCGCATGCCCCTTTCCTTGCGGCTGCTTGTGGGGAGGAAGAGTCGTAAACAAGAAGTGTACGCTGCAGGAACTACAGGGCTTTAACCCGCCCACTTGCACCACGGAAAACTGACCGCCCAAGTCTCGAAATTCTGGCTGCATTTACTCACTAAACGCTGGAAGCATTGAGACGATTCGCTAACGTGAGCATCTACCATCGCACTGCCCACCGTCGCTCATGATCTGCAGGTAGTTCCAGCTCTTTGCACCTCTGCGTCCTCTTGCGAGGCAGTGTATACTACACCATATAAGAAGACTCTATTGCTTTATGCTGCAAGCCCTGACCCCAGGGTTAACGCACAAAAAGGGCGTTGACTCTCTTCGTCCGCTATTGGGAAAATCCTGGCAATAAGTTTGCGCTAAGCGTCACAAAACTAAGTCTTTAGTCGATTGTATTGGGTAAAGAAAAGTGAACAACAGGTTGACGTGCGAAAATATCCTAAATGCCAATCTCTGCGACCACCGCAGCTGCTGAAGTCGTCCATGCCACCGAGTAAGCCTCCATAAAACAATCCATCTTCCGCAGAACCATCGCCACAAAATAGTGGCCTCTACCCGAATGCTCTGCACGAAGAATATCTCGTTGATTCCGCAGATGTGTGTACTGCCTATTGTTTCAAACCGTACGGCGCTCTTTTACAAGAATATTGAGTGCACGGTTTAGTCTGCGTCGGGAGCGCCCGGTGCACCTGAGAACACACAGAACCCCTATGACTTTTTCCTTTCGAAGTAGAATGATTAATCACGTGTTTTCCCGGTCATCTGTTGCGCAGCATCTTATGTTGCGAACAATTCACTTGGCTTCTGCACGCCTTGAGCAAGTATGCGAATGCCACGGCGACCTTATTGCTTTTGCTCCTATTCGGCGATCTACAGATCTTGACCTCTGATAAACGTACGAGGAGCTGGACCCCCTGCAGGTCTGGCCATGATGATCTGATCCACTCGGAGGGCAGTAATCGCGGCATCGAAGGCCAAGCGTGTCGCCCATGCCTTTGTTTGCATGTGATCGAAAATGCACGCAACCTTTGCATCTAAGGTCATATTTACTTTTGAGCCGCCACTGGCAGCACGGCCCAATGCCACTGATGCTACAAAAGCCTCCACGTTGACACCCTCATGCACGCGGCCTGTTGAATGAGCTGCGTGCAATGCAGCAAGAACCTCTGTTTAGCCACACAACCCCACACATGCACATACGCACAAAATCATGTGCCAAGACAGCTCCGCTGTAAATATGTGAAAATGGACAACGATAAGAGTAAAGAGAGCCTTTCCATGTCAAAGGGCTGCCCTCCCCAAGAGTTTTCCACTCCCTGGGGGTGACATTCCTGGTAGACAGCTTCGTCAATTGTGCACCAAATGAATTTGGCAGAGATGGAAATACCCGGAAGCTCAAGGCTATTTACCTGTAGCACTTAGGCCGGCGCTTTCTGCCAAAAGTCGCGGGATCGCCTCGAAGGCCTCAGCGGCTTTCAGTACGGCGTACTGATTGACTCCAGGCAGCTTCTCTGCCACTGCCTGAAAAGAGATAATTCTCTACGTAAGGAAATAAAAGTGGAGTGCCTGGTGAGCACGCTTTTGCCTCTTGCTAAAATCTGAGGGATGCTATTGCTTTATGAGCAATGTAGTTGCCACTACGTGAGGCACCTCCCTTCTCTAAAACAATAAACACTCAAAATGTGGACGTGAATTGCTAACCTGCAATTTCCTCGCAATTTCCATTTCTGCCGCACCGGCGCCGGCAACAAATCGCCGGTCTTTTGTCAGCGCCTTGGCGAAGGCACAAGCATCATCGACTGCCTTCTCTGCCTCATCAAGTATGCACGGTGTTGATCCACGCAGCACAACGGTCTGCACGCGTGTATCTCTGCAGTGACACGCCAAACTGCATCATATGCATCCTGAAGTGATCGCGGACTCTTTACTTCTACTGCATGGCTAAATGGAAGGAGAACCGACGAACCGCTTGGGCCCAACACCAGCAGTAACAGGAGTATAAAGGCGCCAATCATGGCGCAATTATCGACACCATGCGTACCAAACTGGAAAGCAGTGAACAAGGAAATGCTCATCATTTTACCTGCACAAAATCTGAGTGACGCGTGTGCTGGATATCTCAATAGTCTCGATGGAATCTGCCACACCGAGCTCGTCAGCCATAGGCACGCCCTGGAATCAAAAACAGCAATTGAAAAACAGAGAGCAGCAGCAGTCGCCGAAAATTCACTGAATTGCTCTGGCTAAAGTGGTTGGTCTCTACAGAACTGTATATATAACAAGTCGCCAATTCCAATGTCTCTGCCGTACAACAGCGCCTCCACCCCCCAAGAAGCGACCCCAGTCACTCCCATTTTGAAACTGACAAGTCGAACGAGTGCGGTCGCGCCCAACGCTCTGCAAAGACGCCGGGTTTCAAACTTTGATGGAACCTGAAAGGCGCAAGCAGAGCGAATAGGGAAAACTGTGCCTCTTTCTATCTACGTAATCTTCCGCGTCCATTACCGTTGCAAAGAATGCTTGTCACCCTATCGCAGCCAACCACAGTGAGACACACAACGCCGGTGACAGCCTTAATCGATAACCTAGCCTACCTTGATTGTCAGTATGTCGTATTTGTTGCAGAAATGCTGCGCTATATCGGCAATGCCGCCCCCGTGGACAATGATGGCTTCTACACCTGCAAGACCAAGAATAACCACGCGTATTTACCCTTTCACCCACTCTTGTTTTCTTTGAGTCAGCACCAATCTGTACACAGTAGCCTCATGACCCTTCTGTTTCTCAAGCCTAGCTGTACTCTCCAGCTACAGTTTCCTGGCTGGCAACACGGAGCTTCCTAGTGAGCAATCACCGGGACAGCTGTGGGCCGCATGTTTAATAATTGTGTTCGTTACCCGCATTTTTAATGTCTTTAATTATGTCCTCCATCTGTGACTCCTCTCCCTTGGTAAAATTTTTAAGCTCTTCTGCCGTGTGGATAAGCACTGTGCCCTTCGCTTCTGTCGTTGAACATTCCAGTCCACAACCCAACACCATAACCTTGCAGTTCTTCTTAGACTCCACCGTACCTGCAGAGCGTGGGCACACAACACATGCATCTACAAGTAAGGCCAAGCTCACATATGAACTCTGCTTCACATGCTTTTTGCCGTGGCTCTTCTCTAGACTGGCTTCGAGTAAATAGCGAGGATCATCCATGAAAAAAACAAAAGAAAAGCTGACCATGAGGCGGCTTTGTGATGACCATTCCGTTTAGCACTGTAGATTGATTTAGCCGTCCGCCTTGCAGTTTTGCCACCCTGATGTTGTCTGGGTCGAAGTCTTCAAACTTGGGCGGCATCACAGAAGATATGGCAGAAGCCAACAAGCCGGAGAGGCCAGCCTCTGAACATATGGGCTTGCTCGCCAGGACTGTTTTTAGCACTAAAGCGCAGCGACAACAAGGCCAGCAACATCCAGATGCACAGAAAATGACGGTCTCGGAAAAAACCTATGCCTCGCGCCCTAAGCTTCTACGCGCGTGTATTGTCCTTGTTCGAGATGAAAATATCTAGCCAAACCAAGTTCACACGCCCGCTCGAAAATGTATCAGTCACCACCTATGACGGCGATATATGCAGCGCAGTGTGAGTGTACCAGGCTCCAACTCTTTTGCATCCTTCAAATTCTCTACGGAGTGGCAAGCGGTCTCTTCCAGGAAGGCAGGAATCTTATCCAGTGCAAGCTCGTAGCCCTGGATGACATCACTCAGGTGCAATCCCTGGCGGAGGAGGTAATCAGCCTGAAGATACATTTTCCGATAAGCGAAGAATGGACGCATCAACTAGGTGCGACTTCCCACGAAGAAAAGAGCATGACTGGGTGCATGTTGCTCCTTTGGTGGCGTCATCTCTCAATGCGCTCTCTGAACGTGTTCATCTCTCCCTCCACCTACATTTGTGAGGAGGTGGCCAGCGAGGATCAGCAGAAAGTTGCATCCTCCACCCATTTCCTGCTTCTGCATTTCGGCCGCCATCACGAGCAACTTAGCCGCAGGGTGCTGCACTTCAAGATCTTTAAGGATCGCCGCTGTGTCGTTCGTCACAGAGCGTTTGCCCCAGGCGTTCACCACCAGTTTGCTAAGACCATAAGGGCCTATGAAACAAATCCACACAAGTAGAGCACAATATTCGTTTCAATGGGGGACGTGTAGGCGCCTCCTTTCTGTGTGCTTGCATCCTAAGTTTGACTTTGACCCGGGCAGACTTGGAGTTTGAGTAGTCCCCATGATAAGCGAAGTGTGGGTACCCTTCAGACCGACCAAGAGATGTCTTTAAAATGTCTGTGAGCGTTTTACACGCCTCAATGTTCTTCGCTGTGACTTCATCAATCCCTGTGAAGGTGCGGTACCCATCCTTCAGAAGGGCCCCCAGGCCATGACGGGCGGCGAACTGAAAAAGCGAAGTCCACAAGCAAACACTAGACAACACATGTAATCAGCCTGCCGCGTTGTAAACGCTTCCCGTTCATGATGAGCCATTCTGTACAGTTTAACCTCCCCCTCTCTCTAATCAGCGCATATCCCCAGGCGCTGGACTAATACCACAAAAGTGGGCTGCGAGGAAAAAAACATCGCGCTATCTTCACACGTAGTGCAGGCGTTCGTCATTTGCATTTTTCTTTGTTCATGGAAAGCGCAACGGATCGAGTGCCCAGAAGCGCAGTGCTTCCCTCCCTCGTGAATGCTGCATGTAGTTTGTTCTGCGTCTTGCTTATTTTAAGTGCTGAAGCATCAACCGATAGGTGGCAGGATACTCTTTTCAAAGCACGTATGTCTGGTGTATCCCACGAACAGTCCATCCCACAACGAAGATAATCGGGCTTTGGGGAGAAATTAAGCCTTAACGCACCATTTCCAGGAGATTGTCAGGGACACTTGACGACGAAAAACACAAAATGAATTAGTTTGCAGCAGGATGAAACAAATGCCACTCCAGCAATGGCCCTTGAGGAGTCTGAGGCCCCCTTGACGCCAACACCACAGTAGTACTACTCTGTCGTCGCAGCAGCGCTACTGTATTTCAAGCACCGACGCTAGGTGCGAGCTCTGAATAAGGCTTAATCCCACTAAAATGCATAAAAATATGTCGAAGCATATACTTCGATGAGTTCTGGGATTTTCAGGATAAAGAAAAAGCCAATTTCAGCGTAGAACGCATTTGATCTATCTAGACAACCTTGATCCAGCCCCAACCCAGCGCTTATGCTCTGCGGCCACGAGAGGTAGGTGGGAGTCTAAGCGGCCAACAAAAAAGTTCACCTAAGCAATAATCAGTTTTAGTCCTCAGCGTATCGTTTACCCCTTATCAGGGACTTCGTAAAATTCCCGCTGCATTTGATGGGCCTGAGGCAGCGGCATAAGACTGCTCAGACGCTGCGGGGGTTCTGAAAGTAACTACAGTGGCTTCAGCACAATGCGGCAGGAAGATTCAAATACTTCTTTGGTCTTATTGCCCTGCTTGTGCAGTCGTTTTCGGTGTTTCTCTTCAACTGCGTCCAAAGGCGTGGCGCCCCTGTTGGGTGCTGTGTGGCACTATTGAACCAACCCGTTTGCGGACGATGTAGCACCTCCAAAAGGAGTATTTGAGTGTGTCCCCGAGTTTTCGAACTAAAAAATCTTCAAAATACCCCACATTGTGCTTTTAGCTTCCTATGTACACGGGGCCCGACTGTGTACTTCAGCCGTAGTCCTGCAGTGTGCTATTTAGCGTATTCGAGTGTGGGAGGATGCTGCACGATTACGCAAAGTCCTATACGCCATCTTTAGCAATATGTGAGAAGTGCGTCTTGACAGTGTTTGAGGCCCATGCTCAACAGCCAAATGAGTTATTAAACTGCATTCAAGACTAACGCGGATGAGATAGCTGGTTCGAGGGCCAACTGTCTCATATGCGTTAGTCCTAGTGCAACCGCTGGAGCCTCGCCATTCAAAATGGGCGCAGTCATGCTTCTGGAAAGAGGAACGAACTCCGTCGGCATTAGAAGCTTCTGGTCTATGAAACCATCACGCAGCATCGTGCGTCAATTTTGTCCATTCAGAATCTTATCGTCGGATCTAGTGAAACTGATTAGTCCCTTTCATGAGCGAAAGAAAAACGCCTGCTCCCCGCGAACCCACCGAGGTCTACATAACTGTTCATTTGAAAGCGGTAAACACTGAAGAACACTCAGAGGAGTGTCAATTACAAACACTTTCAAGTACAGGCATCCCATTGCTACAGAATTCGCTCAGAATCCCGTCGCGTCAAAAGCCTGTCATATCACGACTTATGTTGGCAGCAAACAGGAGAGAGTTGAACTGAAAGTCTGAGCCCCATCACGAAGAGCAGTAGCCACTCGCCAGAGTGTGATTTTTGACATAAGAATTTCAACTTCATTTGCAGTTGCACAACCGGATGCTGACGGAGCTGGGCATTCTCTTCCCGCGAAGCTGGCATTCAACAAAACTTTTGACTTACTTAAGAGAAGCCTTAAGCATTCATTGCGTTCCGGATGCCCCCATGTCTGCAACGCTTGTCTTCACACAAAAGCTAGACCCAGCAATTTGCTTGTAGTGGGTTCCTTGAGTCTTACTCACACTGTTTGTACAGAAAAAGATACTCCCACTGCTTAATGGCATCTGCGCAATGAGATTTCACTAATATGTAGGAGCTACAGACAGACGCATTCAAAGACGGCGAAACAACTCAGCAACAGTATGCATTTTGTGTAGATAGCACGACTTTAAATCAACTCGTAATACATTTAAAATGCACATATCACTGCCTTCGCTATCCTACTGCGAGCTCGCTTGGTAAAAGTTATTTAATCATATGCCCCGTAGCCGTGTAAAAACCGAACACCGCGCAACCCAGCTCACGTTTTGCAACAAATTTTGCTTGTTGATACATCATGCTTTGTGTATATCATGTGGCCGTCCAACCTCTCTCGTGTCTATCCAACATTCACGCAGCGAAAATTTAGTTGCTCCTTTAGAGATGACAGCCAGTAGATGAACACAGTAGAGTACACTTCCATCGTCTCAGTCTTTTTAAAATTGCTGAAGAAAAAGCACAAAAGTCCTCACATCGCCAGTTTGCAACAAATTCATGAATGCCCGATTGAAGCATGCATAAAAAATGCAGAAAATGCCTTTCCTTAAAAGTTAGGCGTACCTTGTTTTGCTGCGCGACTGGGCTGTTCATTAGTTGACGACTCCCTTGGCGGCTTATCATGCACCACCTCAAGCGCCATTCAAAAGGCTTGCCCACTTCCAAGAGCCTCAGTTCCGTTAACGGAATAAGACTAAATAATAATATTAAAAATATTATGAAAAAATGGATTGATTCAGGAAAGCAAAACGTGCTGTTTGGACGTGATGAATCGGCCTCGTCGTATATTTGTGACGCCCGTGTCACCGAAGTCATTTCCAACTCCTGGCTTCACCTTGCAGTGTACCCAAGTTCCAACAACCGGAAAAAGAACACATGCTGCCTTACTCAGAAGCCCAAAAACGGATTCAGCGAAAATGGAAAAGGCGCTCAGGCAGCAGGTCCCTTAAATTGTCTTCGTTTCCGTGTAAAAGGCCATACTGCCACGGTCTCTAGCATTTTAAGAACTTTCTTGACATACGCTTGACTTGCAAACAGATCGCTCGAACCAGGGGTCGTAGGAATGACGTGGGAAAAGCAATATCCTGCAAGCCAACGTACTTCCGGCAACTGCCTCGTTTTCGTTACGAGGCATCCGTTCTATATATCACTCAGCTGCGCAAGCGACCTGCAAATTGTTTGGCACTCACTTTGCCGGAATCTAGCAACTCTTTCAAAGCCAGCAATCAGAAAATGAAGCTCTGGAGTTCAGCAGCACTATTCCACTTCGGTCCAAAAACCGTTGAACAAGGAATATATCATCTCAGCGCTGCAAGCTCGCAACAATTAGTCTAACAAGAGCCTCGTACTGCGTCATCATCCACTGAAGTCGTATCCTCCATTTAGTCTTTAATTTCAGGCGCTTGCTGCGTTCTCTTAATATGCTTTTCTGTAATCTGCTCACCTCCAAATCAAGCTGCCTCATATTGATCTTCTGCAGACTTTGCTATACGGCGCATGCTGGTTCACGACCTAAATTACCTTTCTCACAGCTTGTCGACGTTCGTGCACCTGGGTTTCATACAAGCTTGTCCAACGGCCCGCAAACACATTAAGCAAAAATTTGGGCGCCTTCTGGACACACGACTGCAAGGGCCCGTTTCTTCAATGACAGATATCAACGCCATCGCTGTCATCCTGGGAACTCGCCAGCCAAAAGATTAGCTCGCAAGCTACTCGCTCGTAGCACCAGTCCCCGCGACCGCCATGTTGAATCCAAACAATGCGACTCACTAGCTTCAATCACCATATTCTTCCCACAGCGCATGCCTGTTGTGAATAATACTTTAGTTTGAGCGCTCTGCTGACTCAGCTGCTCTCAAAAAGCTATGAACTGGTCGCCGTCCTGAGGGCAACAGGCAGCAAACAAACCTTCAAGGCGTATCCCCAGCTTTTTTCTGTGCAAAGGCTCATTTAAAAGCAAAACAGACGTACGTGGCAAAGGAACCCTAGCATCCTTGTCGGCCTCCATGCCACTTATTTCCCGTGCTCTCTGTGGGTTCAGCCGTTAACGCTGAGGACAATGAATGTAGAGCTACCACGTCAAGTCGTCGCATCTTTCTCTGTTTCGCAACTGTGTTTCTTCTTACTCGGCAAGCGTTCGTCCTCGGCCTGGAGTATTACTCGCACAAGATGCTGGCATCTGCCGTCGCGGCCTCACTACGGAAAAAAGAAACAGATCGCGATCATAAGTCCACAAGCTGGATCATAGAGAACCTGATTTCCGTTTGGAGAGTTTAAAACAAGTGCAGTTTCCGCTATTTTACAATGGCCCCGCCATCACAGTCGTTTTGAGAGCTCTCCCTCGCAAACGGTTGTCTTGTATGGCTGGGACCTGGATAGAGAGCTCAATATCCTAAAGCTTTAAAGTGCTTTGCAGCTCAGCTCACAGTCTTGAACATAACGCTTATCATTTACAGATATGGCTTACGCGAACCAAGCCGCCACCTAATTATTTTTCCGACCCTGTTGCACTCATTTTGCGGAATCCAACTGCTGTTGTATGACCCTCTTTAGTGACATTCACCGAGCTCTCGTTCCTTTTTTGGCTCGCAATGCTGGCCCTCTTTTGCATTCTCTCTAAGTGTTTCTACACAATCTGCTCACAACATCAGGCCTTTAATTCCAATACTCACGCCTTTTGCTCTTGCGCAGTTGAACTCCTTGCTACTGAACGCACGTTCGCTTGCTACCTAAGCAGTGTCTCACACAGCTTGCCAAATTTGCAGTGCTACTGTCCGCATGCTTCGACAGCAGCGTGAAGATAAACATGCTTCCTCCCGGTTTGAGATGGCACACATTGCCGCAGTCGCAATCGTCCTACAAAAGTTGCCCCAGCAAAAAAATTGGCTCGAAACCCATCTGCAAAAAGCACAAGGCTCCACAGCTGGCGTTCGGAAAATATTTCTTATCGAGCCTCACGCTCTTTAGCCCACTATGTCTCCTCTACAGAAAAGGCTTGTGCAATCCATGCGGCTGTTTAAGCGCTCTCCAAGCACTCTTCATCTGCTCAGCTGAGTCAAACTGCACGCTTTTTATCTACAGGCAGCTCATGAAGTCAGATAGTAAACACGCACTGCCGCACTAAGTACCGAAAGCCTGTTCGGAAAACATCACTGTCGCATGCTGGCGGTTCTGAAAAATTGGTAAAACGTGTACTTGAAGCTTGCCTAGGCTCTTCAAGCCAGTGCTATGCCAGCAGCACTAAGGGAAATGCTACTACATTCACTCCTGCGTCTTCAAATATTCAAGGGAAGCTGCTGCCTTGATATTTCCAACATGACAACAAAAAGCATCTTAATGAATCACCCTACATGGCTCTGGTGATGCACGGTCCGGCCGCTCGCTGTCAACTACACCTCCCCAGTTCACTGGGGTTTGTTTACGCAGATCATTTCCACACAGAGCATGCGTGCACACTAATACGTATCATTTCGTAGGCTTGGGACTCGTCAAATTTCTTGTTGCATGCAGAGACTATGAAAAGCTTCATTATCACTGATGTGCGCACAAATTTTCCACCGTTTTCATGCTACTACTACGTTTTCATTATAAAAGTTCTCAGTTGTATATTGTTGTTCGCGGCTGTTCAGTGACGGCGAAGGCCAGAGAGAAAAGCCTCAACTTCAGCAAAGCGGTAACACTGTGAATGAATGCGGTGCTTACTTGGTTCTTCGTCAGTTGGGAGTTGTATGAGGCATTTGGCACGTACTATCTTCGCGACGTCGCT